TGCCAGGGCTTGTTTAACATATGAGCATTTTCCTTAAATTTTCAATCAATTATCTATTACCATTTCTAGTGCAAAACTTGAGAAAACGACACGAATAGTATTTTCTACATTGAAAATCGTTGTACGTAGACCACTCACAAGTCGTTTGATTTGTAATCCGAAACCATGCGTTTTTAAAAAGCATTCAAGACAGTATAAATAATACAATATATTGAACGACATCAGCTATGTTTCTATTTTATGTGAACCGATGCCTCACATAAAGTATTTCGAATAATGTCCCAGCGCACGCAATATTCTCAATCTAATAAGAATCACACAAAAAGAATACTAAAAATGAGATCGCATTACTTCAACTCAAAATCAGATTTAATAAGATTAAATTTTCTGCAAGAAAATTTATTCTATTAGAGATGAAATAAAACAAAGCAGAACGCTCATTGTGATTGATAAAAGGATCTCTGATAATTCTGCTTCGTTTTATTTTCTGATCACATACCTTTTTCTTGATAACAAAAATTTGGGAGATTCCAACTATGTGTTTTTGGAAAATAATAATAATAGTAAAGAATATATTTGAAATAATATTTGAAAACTTAAACGAATATTCCAGATTTGTATTGAAAATCAAGTATTAATACATACCCTAATTATTTCTTAAAATTTCGCAAAAAGCCTGATGTTGGTCTTTTCCTATGATTGGCCTACTAAAGTTAATTAGGAAATTTTAAATGCATCTAGTCCTAATTTCGATATGGCTGCTGCAAATAATATGAAATAGCCAACAAATTTATTTTCCAAAATCACATGTTAGGAATCAAAACCAATCAGCAATAGTTGCGCCAACGATAGAATGAGTTAGTGAGAGTCCTACAAATAATTGTTGTTTCGAATATGATTTCTGGTCGTTGCGCCCTGGTCATTTACCAAGTCCACCAGATGGGTGGAGGCCAGGGCAGTCGCTCCTATTGGTTTGGATTATCTTCATCGTTGTCCACTGGACTCGGCGACAGAAATTTTCTAACATACTTTGGATAGTGCGTTTTCTCGTGGGCTTTCAGTATTGTCGAACGCGAAAATGTCTTCCCGCAAAGTGCACAACGAAAAGGTCTTTCGCCTAACCGAAAAGGGATAGTAGAAATAGTTATTAATAAAAATAAATCTATTATGGTAATAACTTAAAAAGTGATTTTAGAGGATTTTTCTTTGAAATACTTAATTTATCCATTACATTTACTGACCTGTATGTACTCTACAGTGGTCCTTCATATGATGCCTCAGTTTAAACGCCTTCCCACAAAACTCGCATTTAAACGGACGGTCTCCCGTATGTACAGGCAAATGCACAATCAAAGACGACACGTCCGGAAAACTCTTCCCACAAAATTTACACAAAACCACACCGCCAGCTTGTTCCACTGATCCCGAAGTCGTCGTAAAATCCATTTCCAATCCACTAGGATCATGAGCATCGTGTGAATGTTCCATAGATCCTGATCCTTCGTGCCTGCTGCTTTCGTCTACTGGTAGAGAAGCGTTTCTGGCAAAACTGGGGTCCATCAGATTGAGGGGCTCACAGACTCCAACTCCCAGGGAATATGCCAACGTGTGCCTGAGCTGAGCCTGCTGCTCTCTGTATTTCAGCGTCTCTAGACTATGCGACAATATATGCCGCGTCAATTTGCTCTGATGAGGAAACGCCGCGCCGCAATAACCGCACGAGTATAGTCGTGGCGAAGAACTGTCATCCGACTCCTGCAACCAAACAAAAACAAGACCATCAACTTCTTGTATGTGATTATTTGTTTTTGAAAAAACTTTAGTTTCTATTATGGAAGAGATTTTAGATTTGGCGGACTTTTTTTACAATACATCTGCAGCTAATACCAAAAATATAACAGTCTCAAGTGTGAGGAAACGTGCATCTAATAAAAGTGTATCGATTCGCGATGTTCAAAAATATATTCTTTTTACAAAAAGTGCAGATAATCGACACAATAACAAAACACCCAAATTTGTTGATCTATGATAATAAATTTAATATCTCTGCTTGCATAACAATTTGGATAGTCTCTCGACCGAGAGAAGAATTTTCTACAAACAAAATTCTCAAAAAATGTTTAAAGAAGTTGACGCTCGTTTTTTGTTTGGCATGACTGCAATGAGTGGATGATGAAGAAATTGGAATCATGCGTGGATGATTCATTCAAATAATATTTGTTTTATGTTCTGGAACTTAATTATTAGATTGTGTGTATCTCTTCTTTGCAAGAAATCATAACAATGAAAATAATCATTAAATCTTCTTTCTCTCGATCGGTCGTTATCTTGTGATAAAGGATTAATAACTCAATCAAATAGTAATACACGCACAAAAAGAAAGGTAATTTACACTTTTCAAAAAATCATTTTGTAACTGACACTAACATTACTTAAATGTGAATTACTACATTCTAAAAACCACTGTAAAATAAACAATACTTACGAACTTCACAACATCAGCAGGACTCAAATACATCTAATCAATAATAGATTCATCACTAAATCTATCTACAAATTCTTAAAATGCCAACGTTTTTGCATAACAGATATTATTAGAATGCCTAATAAATCTTTCAGTATTGTGCTATCACAAAAGATTCAAAACATAATATATTATATATACATTATTCAAGCTAATGATTAAAAAAACTTGAACAACGGCAAAAAATTAATGTCCCCAAGGAAGCAGTCTTTGAAATATATTCAAACGTATTTAAAAACTGGAATTGGCCTGTCCGATGTTGTCATAAAACCTCAAGTATGTTTGATCACGCAAAATCAAAAATCTCCCCTCAAGACAACTGTTGGTTTAAGGTACACCAGGCGTCTTCGTGACCGTGACCAGAATATACAATCGAAAAGCACAATTTTGACTCAGTTTAATTTAATTGCGACGAAAAGGTGGAACACAATTTAAATAATTATTCAAGATCTGATTAAATTCATTTAAAATAATATTTCTGAATTATAGGTTCATTATAAAGAACCGCAAACGTATTATGTTATGGAACTAATTCATAAGAAGAATACGTACATGAATTATTAATTCTGAAAATAATTGAGAAGACTTTAGGAATAATTAGGATTGGAAAAGTGAAAGCTATAGTAAACCAGAAAAAAAAAATTGTTAATGAATTTTTTATAATTAAACAACTATTTGTAGATCCATAATATTTCAGAATGTTCGTTAAGACCATGAACTGAAACGTTTCATAAAAATTGTATAATATAAAAAAAAATGCTAATAAAAATGTCTTGTATTAAACTGCGATTGACCTAAACTCGACAGTTGATTTTTTCTTATATCTTTTGATAACAAATCATCTGCTTGTATAACTTCCGTTTGATACACTTTCATAATTGTCTTATTGCCATTATCTGAATTTAAAATGTAACAAAATCCCACCTGGATGTCTTCAATTATACTGTGACGATGCTTATCGTCGAAAAGAACGAGGCGTAGCGGCCGTTCGATGTAATTTGACATTATCAATTATTGCTAACAGCTCGATCGAGCATCGAATATATAAAATCGCGAACATAAAGTGTCCGAAATTCATTTTCAGGAAGGATACAGGGCTGTATTTTAATAATTAATATATTAGTTATATTCCCAACTAGAGTCTGATTCAATTCTGTGAACATAGACGTCACACCGATATAACTTTATTTGCAGTCTTTACAACAAATCTTACTTTAGCGATGAATCCAACCCTACTTGAGATTTACTAATGTAATTCATACTCTTCGACTCCTTAGTATGAAAGAAATCATATCAATTAATGGTTAACAATAATATTTTGATAAAATAATAATAGTAATGATAATAATATTTTATTTTCAAAGTATTCATATTAGTAGTTTGAAGTTTGTATAATAAATTTGTAAAAAAACGCTTTCTCATTGATGCGTATTTTCTATTCTGTCCCTACTACTGTATAAAATTATTAAAAAAAATTGCTGAAAATCTAATCCTGACCTGAAGGTACAAGAAGAAGGACCAGAACAGGTGACCGAAATTGGCACGCGATCCATTTCAAATTATTCACGACCGATAAAAATCATGTATCGGAAGCAAAAGGATAAGACAATATTATGAGACGTGTATTCAGAGCGTATAATGCCTTATAGTCATGCTTGCCTTTCAAGTTTTTTTTTAATTTAATTTTCCTTTATTCAGGAGAAACCTATTTTTAAATTGTCTGCTGTCGAAGTTCTAATTTTTAACAGAAACCGCAGAGATCAGAACTATGTGTACTATAAGCTGAGTTTGCTATCTATTTCCTAATCTAGTATTTTTCTCAAAAAGGCAACCCAGTGGTCAACCGCTCTTCTCTTTTATGTGTAGATCTTATATATTAGATATGTATATTAGCTTAGTTAGCTTACATAAGTAGCAGCAATTACTTTCACTTGAAACCCCTAACTTTAGAAGAAAATTTGATACAACTTGATATCAAGTTGGCCGAATTTGAGATTATGACTCCTGTGTGCTAGCCAATGTTCTTAACAATTAGTAGATTTTATATCAAGAATCTTAAGAAATAAAGTGCGAACGAATGTGCAATAGACAATAAAGAGACAAACCATAATTGAATACAGAAACTCAAATTTAATCAAAATAACGAACATAATTTCATGTAACTAATTTGTAATTTTATATAGTTTTTTTCAAGTGAAAATGCGAACATGAATCCTATCTTATCAGAATGCTTACAATTAATACAGACATTACTATTTATCTAAAATCTGAGAAAAAAATTTGAATATATGTAACTAATTCCAATTAGGAAAAATAAACAAATTAACCTTTAGATTTATTACGTGGAACGGTTTTCAAAACTGTATTTCAAAATCTATATTCCAAAAATTGTATCAAAATTTATAGTATTTTTATAATTGCCCCAGAATATTAAAATCATATTTTTTTAATTAAAAAGTAATCAACAGCAGTACGATGTTATTTATTACTTTGACCGGATATCGATATTTATTTAAAAATACCTACCACTAAAAAACTCATTAAAATTTTGAAAGCGCTGCCGATAAATATCTACAAAAATATTATTGCTTTATATTACTTTACCACCTGCATCATAACGAGATCATTTCATATAATACAGTATTCAACTTTGTCAGCAATTTTTATAATACAATAATTGTAATTACCATGATGGTAATCAATTGAATTACACCAATGGCAACAATATTTATTTCATGTTTTATGAATAATAACGAAAATGGATAATAAATTATAAATATATAATAAATAATGCACTAACCTGGTCATGGGCATGTCTAAGATATTCAGCAGAAGAAGATTCAGCCTTGATTTCCTCGACAGCTCTTTCCCAATCCACTTCTTTCTTCAGAGACTAAAATAAAGTTGTATATATAATGATTGCAAATTAGTAATACTTTGTCAAATGTAATAACTTAGTTTTTCAATGTTATAAACTGTGGAAATCATCAAGCCAATTTAAAATTTCGAAGCAGAATAATTATTAATTACCAATTTTCATCTATGCAGTTTATATTATCTTACCAGAGGTACTTGCTGAACAGGTGGAAGACCCGATGGGCCAGGTAATGGATCTGGAGGTGCTTCTCTTTGCGGAGGTTGTGGAGGCGATGGAAGAGGTACGCTTGTCGAAGGCGGTGGTGCTGCCTGCGGCAAAGGTGGACCTCCTCCTGCAGAAGATGATAAAAGAGGCATACTCGTCGCAAGAGAAGCAGCAGCAACTTGGCTACTAGCAACACCGATACGAGTTGAATGCTCCGAGGACGAAGATATACTCATATTCAGACCTAATATGAAAGTTAAACAGTTAAAACATTGATAAAAGTTGATATTACAAAAATTATTAAGAGTTGATTTTTACTTACCGACATCTGTACAGTTAGAATGCTTGACCAATGGCGTAGATGTAGCATTACTAGAAGTATTATTGTTATTAATTGATTTGCCAAGGGTTGCAGGTGTTTCGTCATCATCAGTATCATCACAGGCCATGGGCGTACATGTCGCCGTTTCGGGAGGCTTTGCTCTGATTAATGACAGGGGTGATTGTTCCAATCGTGGTGGTGGTGTATAAGACTGCTCGGTTATGTTGTTCGTATGCCTTTTGATCGACTGAAAATAATAGATAAAATAAAGATACATCAAATATTTCAAAACATCAGGAGTTTTGAGGATCAAAATAAATTACCGCGTCTGAAATGTCTGCATGATGATTATTCTGTTTCCGGTCATGTCTGGTTAGAGTGTCTATGGAGATCCTGGACGTCTGGCTACTTTCGTTAGGCTGATGAAGTGTCGAGCCACTCACTGGCATTTGTTGGTTAATTTGACTACTATTTGTGTTCGTGCTATTTGTACTGGTCGAACCAAGAATAGGCCCTAACTGATTAATTGCCGTTGTCGTATTATTCTGGTGTCTTGTGATTGTTGAGGAAATAGACGTCGAAGCGCTGATGTTGTTAGTTGTGCTGTTGAAGAAAGAAAAATATGGGGCAATCTGGTGAGTCTGCACACTTTCGGAGGAAGCATCGTGCATCATAGGCGCTGAAATCGTTGAGGAGGAGTTTGAGGTTGTGGTCGCGGCGTTCAAGTTCGTCATTTCGGCTAGACCTTTAACCTGGAAAGAGAAATAAATAAAAAAACGTATAATCAATCAAATATGCATGTGATTTTACCAAATTACTATTGGAATTTATAACTTGAAAGCTGGTTAACTCATACAACTGAGTCAAAGTTCCAAATCAAGCGTGGCCAATCGTGTGATGGACACTAATATGAAAACTAATTTTCGCACTTGCTCCAAATACCTTAAGGCTCTCGGCTGTTTTGAGAAGGGCCGACAACTGGCAGTACTGCACGTTAACTTCGCCTTGTACATGAACTCGACAAGCGTGCGCAGCTCGGCGAAATGGACGTCCTTCAGAATCACGATCGGGTGTCGAGACGGATGGTCCAGGAACAGCGCTTGGAAATATGACGAACAAGCGGACAACACCACCTGGAATGATAATAAATTAGTAAATCATTTTTTTTTTTGTTATGTGGATAAAATTTTTCATTTAGAATTGTTATTTGAGACCCCACACACAAGACCGAAATTGGACTTCCTAATAACTCTAATTACTCCGTCATCTGTATGTCTCATTATTTTATAACTTTATGAATGTACTGTATCAAAATGAATATCTAGAATCTAATGGCATTCACAAAATACAGAAATAAAGAAAGAAAAAAATCCGTCATCTGTATATCTCATTATTTTATAACCTTATGAATGTACTGTATGAAAATGAACTATCTAGAATCTAATGGCATTCACAAAATACAGAAATAAAGAAAGAAAAAGTCTCGTTTGATCATCAAGGGAAAAAAACAATTTAAAATCAATAATAATATACTATTCATGTTCCTTAAAATTTATGTTTTAAGAACAGTTAAGAGGGCCAATAATTTAAAAAACAATTTTGGAAATTAAAAATAGAACAAATAATACATTAAAACAGATTTGATTTAAATTAAACATAATAAAGCTGCTGATTCTGTATTTTTTGCTTTTGAAATTTATAAAAAATTTATTATATATTCTCAACTATTAGACGCTCAATTATAATGCCAATATTATTATGATTAATGTAATAAGTGGAGCGAATTGCTGCTCCAATGTACAAAAATGCAACAACACGCACAAGCACAAACTGTTCGCTTCATACAGGGCAATAAAAAATATTTACCCAAATATTAGGTATAATTTTCAGTACAAGTTTGAGTGTCAATAAGAAAGTACCCGCGTAACTCGCGAAACCAGTGAAATAAATAAAATAAATAATAATAAATTTAAAGCAAAATAGATTAGGTTATGTATAACAAAATCAAAGTCATAATAAATAATTAGTGAAACAAATAAGTCAACAAGAGTTTCATTATAAACCCAATTTACATTTATGGGAAATGTCCCAATAAGTAAAATTAATAAATAAAGTTATTAATATGATTATGTATAAAAATTGAATATTAAATTATAGTTCTTATTAATTTGATTTGCATTAATGGTCTTGCAATTATAAATTCAATTTTTTCTAATTGCATCCAAAGTTTGAACTGGAATCACCTTAAGGAAATTCCCGGTTGAGATTTAAATTAATCAATCTATGTGATTGACTGATTTATTACTCAGGAGAGTTAATTAGCTAATATTCTAAAATACAAATTTAGTCATTGCGTTACTTTTATCAATAATTATAAATTTAGTATATTATTTTTTATTTTTCACAAGTTTTTCAAAACATTATAAAAGTGATAGTTATTTTCGGTGACCCTATTGGGAAAAATTACAAATTTTGGAAATACAAATACAATTTTCCTTGGCGTCTATCCATGACAACTGGTATCATTTAGGTAGCAAAATTGAAAATACCATTGTCGATTTGAAATTTGCTCAAACATTTGCATATCATCATCATTTCTCATGCATATTACATGCTCACGACTTGTATTTTGTGCGGGGTCCGTATATGTGGCGATCAAGAAGCTTGTATTGCGATGATGCAATCTTTCGCCAAAAAACAGCAACAAACGAACACGCATCATAATTACAAAATGTGGAATATACCGGCCGCCAGTCAAAAATTTCGTCTAGCGAATAAATAAGCAAACAGAACGACCTTCGGTTCATAACGGATACTTTTAAGTTATAAGCATATTATTCGCAATGATTATAGACGAAAGGCTAATAGAAAATTTTCCTACTCGACTATATGGGACTTTTGTTTAAAAATATATTAAATTTAAATAGCACAGACTGTTCGTTGTAATACTATTCACAAGAATAATTTCTCCTAATTTGTTTTGCTGATGGTTCTTTATCCATCAAGTAAACATATATAACTAGTGGTGCATAGCATTTTTCTGGACCTCCGAAACCGATGGATCTGCCTTCCTGACAATTTTTTCAATTCTTCATTTCATCAATGTATTGAAATGCATTTTGAATCATTCAAATCGGATTCTCCATTCTCTCAGAAAGTGATTTGCACTGTTTGCACTTTTACCCCCGAAACTGCTTTACTTGCCTTTGCCAAAAACTAATCAGCATCAATCTCCCTAGCAATAGGAATGGAAAGTTTTTTTTGAACAATTCAACTTAGTTGATCTTTGCTCTCCAAATCGTAGACAAAAATATTTATCCGCGCATACATATAAACATACACTCACATACAATTTATATAAGGTATGCCAAAATGTTCAGAAACCTGTGAAACATCATTTTCGATCTTTTTCTAATTACTATAACTTATTCCACAGGAAATTAAAATATAGATTAAAACTTAAGAAATTAGCTAAAATTGAGCTTTAATAAAAATAGACTAAATGCTACATTCTAAAAAATCCATAATATTAAATTAGTAATGATCCACATTTTTATTAAAACTACAATTTTTACGCACTGTAAAAAATGATACTGGCTCATTAAGAACATTCAAATATATTCGCAGAATTTTTATTTTCAATTCATTTTATACGAAAAAGTGAAAGTGTTGTCTAGTTAAAATGCACACATTTTCGAAGAAATTTTAGAAACAATTTTTATTTAAATTCATTTACATAAAAGCCCATCAGCACCTCGTCTATTTTGCAATTCGCGAACTGTACGCGATTTTGCAATAGTTCT